GAAAATGTGTCACTCTCAACTTAAGCAAATTATATATAATATTATAGGTAGACATGGGATTATAAACTTGCCTCTAGAGATGCATATATGGAAACATCAGGAGAGTAAACTTCAGGCGTTAGTCCAGGGCGGCGTTTATAGGAAGATTGCTGCATAAAAACGTACACAACGATTTTGTGGATACAGGTTAAAATTGTATAATAATGACGAATAAAAAAAAGAATCTTACGCCATTCCTATAAATTATAATTATATAATTATCCTTCTAAATATATTGACGTAAAAGGCCAGATATATTAAAAGCCTTACTTGATCACATTCATTTTCGATCGCGCATTACTCGACGAAGTAATTTGTATTGTCGCAGCAATTTTTCTGTACAAGAGCTTACGGTCATGTTCGCTGAATATATCAATACCGAATTCCTATAATAAATCAAAATGTTGAATGTATTTGAATCATTACCTATTTTTAATCCTCAATAAAGGTGTAATTAAAATTTACCAATGTATCATAATTTTTAAGTTCAACAGGCTCGCCTTCTTTGTCTTCAAGGCTAATGCGTTTTCCGTTAACGAAGGTGCCATTACTAGACTTTAAATCCCTTATGAAAATCTAAAATAGACAAAAATTTTAATGACAAAGTCTTTTTTCATAATAGTGAAGTCCATAATTCAAAAATTACTTTTCCATTATCATTCCAGATCTCTGCGTGAGTTCTGGAAAGGACTCGACTATCAAAATAACCATTCGTTTGAGTTTGGGGCGTATTTTTGTTCGTCATACGGCCTATTTTGACCGGTACGTTGTCAGAAAGACAAATTCTTTTGGTGGAAAACGTGTCATTTATGGATTCTAAAACTAGAATGATATCGTTGAAATTTGGTGATACGTTCGTAGAAGATATTGTTGAGGTCATATTTATAATTAATTGGTTTATACTATTATATGAAAAGAATGAACTATTGTATGAGGAGAGTTTGACATCATAGTCAGTTAGCTGATTTTGCTAACA